CAGCATGCTGGCTGGGGAATTCTGGGAGTTGAAGTCCACTCATCTTAAAGTGGCCAAGTTTGGACAACACTGGCATAATGCATAAAAGCAATACAATGGGTGTGTGTGTGTGTGTGCCAGAACCCAAGAAAAATAATATGGACCAGTATTAAACCTTCTCATGACCAAAGGAATATAGCTATTGCCAAAGTGAGGATGAGTGAAAAGTGATTTCAGTAGATAATATATTATATCCTACCCCCAACTTCAAAAGTGGATCTTCTAGCTCACATGTATCCAAGCAATTCCCTCCCTCCCTCTCCAAAAAACTTTCCAGGGTTTACCGCTAAATTCTGAATTCACATGTTAGCCAGGGAGGCAGCTGCGCAATCTGAAGAAAGATGTAGCTGCTTTAAAGAGTACTGGACATTTTGCTTTTTTTGTTTTAAATTTGAATGGCTGCATGGACCTAACTACTACATGTATAAGAAATAGTTATATTTGCTGTTTTCAATTAACATTCATGTAAATATAAACAGAATGAAACCCAAAGACGGTTTTATCCTATCTTCTCCTTCCCAACCCCTGTGTCAAGTCATAACCATTTTTAGTATGTGGAACCTGGGACATCACTAAAAAGCCAACTATAATCCCTGGCCTTGGAGGAGCTGTGCATCCCCATTCCAGAAGGGATCCTTTCGGCTCTGGAGAGATGCTGAAGATGAAAATGCAAGGATAAATGGGTTCCAACCTGAGGGTTTTGGAGAAAGGTGGCTTGGTGGTTTAAACATCCCCCAGAGCGATTTAACAAGGGATCAGAATGCTTCTTCCACTGTCCACGCATCATTTTCTTTTCCCAAGTCTTATGGATACTGAAGAAAGATGTGTTCACAATCCGACAGACATCCACATCAGTGAAGTTTTTGCACCAGTCTTCAAATGTCATCCTGACCCATAATGCATAAAAAATAAATAAATAAATAAATAAATAAATAAATAAATAAATAACCCTCAGCACATCATTTAATTGGTGGTTGGGTAGGGAATGTTTCTTTAGTCATAGAAAAACAACATTATTCCTTTCCAAAAAATGTGCGGTCCACTTCCTAGTTCTGATATCAGCTGAGGATGGAAAACAAACCCAAACTTACAGTATTTCTCACCCTCTTTCATAATTTTTTTCAATTCTTTCTCTGAAGAATTTGGAGGAATGGATCTCCCTAGAACAACATCTCTACTGGTCTTTTGGGCCTGAGTCTCTGTCAACTTTAATCCTGCATTCTGAACATAGGCAACTTCCCATTGGACTGCTTCCGGATTTCACCTCAGTCTTAGATTTGGAAAGTTGTCCAGTTTGAAATTAGATCATTGTACTTGATTCCAGGCTTATCTTTGGAGTTAATTACTTCGAACCGTGAGCTTTTGTAAGCCAGCTTACCACTTTTGAAGTTGGACATTAAGGACTGAGGACAAAAACGGTGTGTGAAATGTGAAGATGCTTTCAAGACCCCAGATGCTTAGGAGATAAACTATGCTGCATTAATGCTCACCAAAATTCTCCATCATTTTCAAAGGTGAGTCCTAAACTTGTGCGCTCTGATTTGCTCACTTTTTTCCACTCCTCAGATCTAAAAAAAGAAGAAAAAAAATTAAACACCTGTTTTATCCATTTTTTAAAAAATATAAAAGCACCTAGTGTTCAGCTACATTAATGGTTCATCATGGACAACCCTGCCTACTATGATTGCTTCTCAAAGGTCTCCAAGAAAGATAACTTTCTAACTGGGATTCTTTTGTTTCCTTTAGCCAGAGATGCTATTCCAAAACTTCAATGCAATTTCTCAAAAGTTTTTTTTTCCTCCTGTGAAAGCAACTTTTTGTTTTCTACTTCATTCTCAGGATGATGGACAGTTCCTTTTAAATTCCTCTTAATGGTGTTTTTGAGCTTTTTGAGGGGGGGGGGCTGCAAAGGGGACACCAGCACTGGTGTTCTCTTTGGCACATCTTTCCATCACTCTAAGCCAGTTGCTTATTTGTTACTATCCAAAGAGGAGACCCCTCTTGTGATTTAATGGAAGTGTATAAAGTCAGGGATACTGTAGATCATAGGAGAAATGATGGCCCCATGAGACATTGTCCAATGATTGTTCATTCACTGCAACCATCTTACCAGTAAAGGGGAGGAACATCTCCCTATAAGAATTTTTTCCAAAATTCTCCTCCTTGAAATCATTTTTAAAACAAATTCTCTATGTTCATACCCTGGCCAACTGGACGTTTCTATCTTACTAGCCAAGAGAACAGTCTCTTCACCAGTTCATGTAATTCAGCAGTTCAAGTTTATTAAGAGGCTAAGAGACCTTTGGATGGGGTGGGAGGATCTCTGCCTTAACTAGCTGAGGGATAAATTGGGTTCTAAAAGTGAAAGTTACTCATTTGCTGAGATTTCTGTAACATGAGCTGAATCTCTCCAATAAATTTCGTTAAAAGGAACCCAGGGAAAATCCTGCTTTCTTTCCAGTGGGCTGCCAAAAGCTTGTCCCTGAGGAAGAGCTGTCAGAAAAAAAAAAAAAATGAATTGGAAATTTGGATAAAGTTGGATAAATGGATAAAAACTTGATATCCGAAGTTTGAACTGGCACAAATCCTCCCTTCTTCTCATAATCTTTAGTCTCCAGCTTATGATTGCTGGCTTCCTTTGAACCTGATTTTCAGTTTCTCTGAATTTTTCTTAAAATGTTGTACCCAGATCTGGTCACATGTACATGAGAGGGTGTTAAACAGTGGAACAATTAAGGTATGTGATGTGGAAACAACTTTTGTTGAGCGTGTCTAAAATTGCATTTGTTTTTCTAGCAGTCACGTCATACAACTGGCTCCTATTCAGTTTGGAGCCAACTTCTATTTCAAGATTATTTTCACAAACTCTTTTACCCAGTAAATCATCTCTCATCCTCTATGTTTACCAAATTTTTATTTCCTAGGTGAAGAATTTCACCTATATTGAATTTCATTCTGCTTTTTCCAGCCACCTTCTCTAATCCATTAAGAACATTTTGATTTTTTTTCTGCCTTCTAAAATATACAGCACCTATCCAGTGTCTGTCTTCTACAAATATGATAAGTATTCTTCCTTCTCTTCATCCTAGTCCTTAAGGAAAATAAATAGGTTTGTATCCCCACCATTTTTTTTCCCTGATATCTCAAACTGCCTTCACGACATAGGTTTTTCTTTTATTTTCACACCTAAATGTTTCCATGCTTACTAGCCAGTAACTTTAGCTCCTAGGAAGGGCCCTGTAATTCATTCAACGCAAGAAACCAATGCTTCTTCTAAGTCTTAAAGTCTGGACTACTTACTCATCACTCCATGCTCCTTTCCATTCCTTGTTTCCCCAAGGATTCCTTAGTCGGATCATGAATATTTTATTCGACTTTGGACCACACAGGTGCTTCTCTCCAAGAGACAGCCTCAGGACTGATGTCACAGAATAGGAATGGCCTTTGACTAAGCCCATGTCAGTCTGTACCTCAAAATCATTGAGGGATGAAGGCTAGGCATAAGAGGAACACAAATTAATGCAAACTTTCATTGCTGTCCTTGTTCTCTCATCAATAGCACCCTCTTCTCAATGTTCCTCCACCTGACTGTGCGCTAATATTCACTATGTGGCTAAATGGGATATTAGTGATTGGCAGTTCAACCTTAATCACAGTAAAAGGCCCCGTTGAGTTCAAGAGGGCTTATTCCCAGTCATAATGTTTTTTTTCTTCAGATGGCCATGAAGGCAAGTAGGGATGACTGTAGGTTCATTACTGGCAAACTGCTTTGGCACATGGAAACATTGGAAAATTGGCTCCAATTTCAGCTGATTTCTGGAGCCGTTTCTTCTAAACGCAGGAAGTGAGTCTCAAGTTAGAACGAATAGCTGGTATCAGGTAGGAATAAATGCCATGGAGTTAATTCTGCCTTGAAGTGTATTTTGTCACTAACCTCAGACAGAACCTAGAACTCTCAAGTTAAAGACCAGTGAAGAAAAATCAAGTCAACCCCCTCCCACCAACGTTAAAAGCTTGGAACTCGGCCTCTTTCTTTCGCGATTGCTTTTAAAAATGGTACGTTAAAAACAAATATCCCTTTTATGCCCTATCTAAATTTCTGCACCACAGCGTTAAAGTCACTCCATTAAAATCAATTTGAAACATCTGGAGACTTTAGTGATGTTATTTACTGTCTAGTCATTTTTAGCATAATCCTTCATTTTTTGCCTTCCTGAAAGAAGGGTCCCTTCTGAGACACTTTCACTCCTCCTCCTCCTTCGGACTCAAATTTCATTTATGGGACTGTTGTCTAGGTGGCAGCTCTTCCTCCTGTCTCCCACGGTCATTCCCACATACCATTACAAAGGGACAGCCTGCCCACCTCCAAATCAGCAAAATGTCCTGATAATGTGAACCAAGTATCCTAAACTGTTCTGCGACTGCTGGCCTATTTCTGTTGCAAAAAGCATCCAGAATACCAAGGCCATGGATATTCCCTTGTTAGTGCTGATATTTCCCCCCACCCATATATTTTTGGCTAGCCCAGACCATAGTTACATTGATGTATTTGATTATTAGAAGTGGTAGTAAAATAAAAATTGAAATCAAACAATTACTCAAAATCTATAACAGGTCAAATATCTCTCAGCTCTAGCTTGGCTCCTGATAATTATATGGACATGTCCATGTTGCTGGTGACCTTATGAAAGTAGTTTGTCATTGTTTTCTTCTGTGATATTTATATATCTGTATCTATATCTATATCTATATCTATCTTCCTAGTCTAGCTTACAGCTTTGGGTTTTCCAAGTATTAATTAGGCCTTTTCAAGCTCAGTGAAGGTCACTTGTTAATTCAAACAAGGAAGCTTGATGGCCTAATCTAAAATAAGGTGTAATCTTAGAAGAATGTCTTCAGAATGACAGTTGAATGCAGGAAAGGACCATCTGGTGTACAAGTCGCATAAATAAGGAGATCCTATTTCCATTATCATGCATTTGTCATTTATATTTATTGAGGTTTTAACACTACTATTTCAGAGCGCTAAATGCCATACCTTTGGCATTCACTTTTGACTACATGTACGTAAGCAGAACATGGGAAAGAAAAACAACAGGAAAAATTACAGGGTAGGAACATCCCACTCCAGCTGTATAGAAAAAGGCAGAGCTTTGCGGACAATATCCTTCAATGTCATTATTCAGTCTCATGGCAAGAAGACAAATCTAATACAGGCAGTCTTTGGTTAATGACGGTAACTGGGACTGGAATGTATGTTGCTAAGCGATGAGGTTGTAAAGCGCAATGTCATGTGACTATATTGTTTAGTGACGGCAATCCTCGCACTCCCTGTTGTCATTGTTAAGTGATGTTCATGGGTTGTTAAGCAAGTCCCAGGTGGCTTGTAAGCAGCAGGTAAGTAGCTGCTGCCAGACAGGGGAGGGTGTGACAACTTACTGGAGCAACTTGCAACCTTCCTGCTGGCTTCCCCATTGACTTTGCTTGTGGGAGCTGGCAGGGAAGGTCGTGGCACTGCAACCATCGTGTGATCCAGGTGACAAGTGCCCAAGTCACGATCATGTGACTGTGGGGGTGTTGGGATGGCCAGAACTTCAAGGACCAGTCGTAAGTCCAACTCGTTCAGCATCATCATAACTTTGAATGGTCGCTGAAGGAGTGGTCGTGAAAACGAGGACTGCCTGTAACTAGTTAGTCCAACTGAGGAAGCCTCTGCAAGAAAATAAGCACATGGACGAGAGACTTAGATGGATCTTAGGTTTCTTGCCAACCTATCCAACATTCATGTGACCGTGTGTTAAGAAAAGAACCTCAATTCTTCATAGGGTTGTAAAATAAAAATACCATTAGGTATACATATTAGAAGAAGGTAACATGTAGGCTTTTTATGGGAACCAGGCTGGATGTACATTAAAAAGACAATTCATTCATCGTGGTTGCATCAGCCATAGCCGAGTTGTCACTTTTTACAACTTAGTGCCCCTCCCTGCCTCTTAAGATATGATAAGAGCTTCTAGGAGGGAAACACCTCACAAAGCCTCTAGGACAGCGTTGTCCAAACTTGGCCACTTTAAGATGAGCGGACTTCAACTCCCAGAATCTCCCGCGCGAGCGCGTAGTACGTAGTACGTAGTACGTA